TACTCCACTTACACAAAAGCATTCTATTGACACATAATTTGAACTCATTCTGCTCTTCTAGGAATTCTCAAAGGATATTTATTTACAGTCCACAATCACTGTCCTCCAGCTTAACTGTTGTGTTTGGATTGAGACCTTAGACCTTGCAGTATCAAGCTAAACGTCAACAACAGTTTAATAAATCCAGACAGTGGGGATAGCCTGTAACCAGGAGAGAGGCCCTGCTGTGTGCTGTGGATATATATAGAAGGATATGTCTTTCTAATATTTTTAAACCCCTGGCTCTTCATAGTGCTAGCTTGATAGGTGACTGCAAGCAAGCCCACTCCTCTCAGCCTCTTTCCCCTCATGGCTTTTTGACTTTGACTGGCTCTTTTAATTAGGGCATCTTTTTATTTGAGGCTGGTCCATGGGTTTTACAAACATGAAAGGCATGGGCAGCAGCGGGTCTGCCTCCATGGTCAGTGCCAGCATGTCCTGGGGGCCTGTGCTGTGTGTGGGGGAGAGCTGTGCTGCTGTGAGCTGAGCTGAGCTGAGCCAGCCACAGCCTGCTGGGAGAGGGGCATGGAGCCTCCCCAGTGCTGCAGCCCATCTCTGCTTTCAGGAGCTCCAAGGCTCTGGCCAAGCGTGGGCCGGAGGGTGAACTCACTTTTCTTGTTCACATAAACACACTGGTCTCATTCAGTGCTTTGGGGATGCCACCATAATCCAAAGAAGTAACTCGGAACAGGAGGAGTCTTGGCCATGATGGTGAAGCCAGGAACATCGTGGGAATTGAGGAACACGGTGCTAATGGTGCTTCCTAACAGGGCAGAGACACTGTGGGACCGCGCTGCTCCTACGCAGCAGGGACAGCCCTAAGTTCCCGCTGCTGGCTCCGGTGGGGAGCAGGATGAGGAAGCCATCTGGCAGTGCTCATCAGCCAAAAAGGCTGCCTCAGTGGCTGGGCTGGGGCAGGCATAGGGGTTCAGAGCGGCCAGGGGGGTTGATAGGCACGGGGCTCAGGGGCAGCAGGGGGGTTCACTGGCAGGCACAGGGCTTCGGAGGAGGGCAGAGCTGGAGCTGGGAGTTCTGCCAAAAAACACACATGCGGCTGGAGCCCGGTGTTCTTCTTTCCCCTCCTTCTTTAGGTTTTATTTTTACACAGGTTACAGGCATTGCTCCTTCTGATGGTTACGGTTTTACAGTATAGCTCCAGGATGCGACTCCCTAATGCTTCAGGCACAGGCGCACACACACGGCTGCCCGTGGAACTTCGGCTAAGGCAGCCGGGGCCGGGAGGATCCCTGGCTGTCTGTGGCTGTCGGTGTGACGCCGGGAGCACACCCGGCGGCGGGCGCCCCTCGGAGCCGGGAGCGCGGCCGGCCCCGCGCGGGCCCGTCCCGGCGGGCGGGGCGGGGCGGGGCGCGGGCACGTGCGCGGGGGCGGCGCGGGCGCGGCGCAGGCGCGGGCGGGCCGGGGCAGGCGGCGGAGCCGGGGCGCCCCGAGCGCGCCGCGCCGGGCCGGGCTTAAAGAGCGGCGGCGGCGCGGGTCAGGTACGGACCTTCCTGCATCCCTCCTTCCCTCCCTGGCTGCGCCTCCCCGCGGGGCTCGCCCAGCAGCGGGGCAGCGCCTTTCCATTATTTTTGTTCTCGCCGGTCGACTGTTTTTTAATTTTTTTTTTCTTTTTGTTGTTGTTATGGTTTGGGTTTTTTGATTTTTGATTTTTTTTTTTCCCCCACTCGTTTCGCCCCGGGCGCGGAGCCCGGCGGGACCCTGGTGTCCGTGCGTGCGCGCACACGCGCGGCCGGGGCACGGCGGGGCGGGAGCGGCCGGTGCCGGCCGTGCCCGCCCGCTCCGGCGGCGGCGGCGGCGGGGCGGCAGCCGCGCTCCGAGCGCCGGGAGAGGCGCGGGCGGGAGGCTCCCTGGCAGCCGCCCTGACCGCGTCCCCTCTCTGGATGGAGCCCGGGGCTGCCGGGGATGCGGTGCCCGCCGCGGGGGCTGGCGGAGCGGCTTGAGCCCCCCGCCCGGCGGAGGCGAGCATGTCCAGTGAGCGGCTTAACAAGACAGCGGTGAAGGATGCGCGGTTAAAAGACCTGTTGTTGGAAAGAGGTACCGGCGCGGCCGCAGGGGCAGGGACCGCGGGATGCGGCCCCGGGCACCGCAGAGCCCGGCGCGCCGGCGGAGCTGCGGGGGGAGGTTCGGGGTGACGGTCTGGTGTGATTGCTGGTAGGGTTGTAAATTATGTCTCTCTCTTCGAGCTCTTCTGAGAAGGTAATTTGATGCAGCGTGTTGCCTTTTCCGTGTTGGGCGTTTACCCTCAAACGTGTTTTAGGGCTTTTTTTGGTTTTAGGGTTTTTTTGCCATGGGGAATTTTCATTAGAAATGTTTCTTGCGCATAAAGAAACGGATGTGTGTGTGTGACAGGGTCAGGGCAGTAAAACCAGAGCATTTCTCTTCCTGAAGGTTTGCCCGGTTTGTCGCCCAGTTGATTTATAGGAAGAGTGGGGAGGAGGCGATGCCTGTGTGGAAGGCGGTGGCCCTTCGCGCCTGGCAGGTGTTGGGCAGGGGACGTGATGGGGGTCGGGGTGACCCAGTGCCTGTCAGCAGCCGCTAGGAACTATTTAAATGGCCTTGATCAGTGCCAGCAAATACAGGCTGCTGCTGCTGCAATCCGCCTGTGCTTTTTACTGCTAATAACCTAATGAGCAGCAGGCGCGTCACTCGGGAGGAAGAAGAGATTTAAAATTATCTTTCTTTCCCGATGCTTTCCGTTGAGGAAATCCTCTTGAACATCAGTAATGTGTTCTGTTGCAGTTTGGTGTTTACAATGTAAACTGAATGTGGGACATCCCATGTGCTCAGAGCCGTGTGCTGTGGTTTTTATTTTCTTTATCGTATGGCCATGTTTTAATCAAACATTTTCAAATTATTCCCTCCCACGGGAAGTGCTCACAGACCAAGTCACTCATCTCTAAGGGAGGGTACTGTCCCTCGTCCCTGAAATGCAGGGGTCTCGATAAACTTAGAAGACTCTGTCCTTGGCAGATAGAGAAGTAACATGTCATTCTAGTGATCTGTGCATTCTAGGAAAGCCTAAATAATCATTGGTTGTTTTGCATGCAGCCCTTTAGCAACAGTCTCTCAATTTCCAGTCTAATGTGTGTCATGGACCCAAAAAACGTTTTGATAGAGAGACCCTTTAGTATTTCAGTAGCCACAGAATGTGAATTGCAGAAGTTGTTAACTGTGTAAAGTCTGTGCTCTGTGTTCCTGAGCCAAGAAAAACTGACTTTTAACTTAACTGTGGTTTGGGTGGGTTTATTTTTAAATTAATTTTGTTCTTCCTGCTTTTTGATCTTTTGGTGCTGGCATTGTTAGCTTCCAGTGACGCAAGAAAGGGGAAAAAGAAAGATTGCTGCCCTGAGTGTGGGGTTGATAGCAAAAGCAGAGCACATAGCAATAACTAACAAAATTCTTTGGTAACCTTGGTGGTCTTAATGATGAGTGGAAAGTACTTAACAGCAAAGAGTGATAAAGTGATAGACATATTTTTGCCCTTTACTCTTTCCTTAGCCTTACGATTGCAGACCCTCAGCACTTTGGTGCTGTGGCTGTGCCTGCACCTTGGCACCAGCCCCCACTAGATACCAGCACACTTGCAGCTCCTGTATCTGATGTTTTGTTTGCAAGAGATCTCAGAATAACGTAACAGCCGCAGTTCTCCTTTAGATCCACTGCAGGTTCACCTTAGATTTTATTTTTGAGTGGCATTTTTCTACCTCAGTTTCACAGTTGTGTTGTGTCTGCACAAGTGTTCTGCTGTCACACAGAAAGCTGAGCATGACTACAAATTAGAGATGGGGGGAAAGGGGCTTGTTTTCTGATATTTGTTCTGTCCTTTCATTTTCTTATGGCATCTCTCTTTCCCTATTAATTTTTTTAAAACAGAAGTTTAGTATTGGTTCTCCAAAGTTCATGTTTTTGCATCCAAAAAGTGCTGCCCTTTTTGAAAAGTACTAAAACTGAGCAACTTTAGCTGCTTCTTTGCTTTTTCTACCAGCCTAGCAACCAAAGACCTCCTCCCATTAACTGGAGTTGTCTTTCAAGATGAGCGCATCCCCTGTGAGCAATGCAGTTTCCATAGAAATATCATCAACTAGGTAACTGCAAAGGGCAATTTTTCCCCTTACATTGCTCATCCTTGCTGCTCCAGTATAGCCAAAAGGGTGCAAGAGTGACTCATTTCTAAATATACTTAATATTTGTGGTATAGGCAGGGCTTCAGATAAGAGGATGGGTTCTGACGGAGTTCATTGTAATTGTATCTCTTGCAACAACCAGGGCCCTAATTTCATTTTTAACTGTGGTGGAACATAGCGTGTTTTAGAGTACCAGAGCTCTTTTTAGATTTTTACCTGACTGGGAAAGGCCTAGAAAAGTTACTAGTTGGAGAGAAGGTGGTAATTGAAAAAGACACTGCATGTAGATTCAATAGACTTAAGGTTTTCCACTCTAGTTAAATAGTTTTATGCTTTTTACTTGATAAAAAAATTAAGGGTAGTGTACTAAATAATCAGGGTCCTGATTCCTCTCAGGCTTTGAAGCTTATGGAACCCTCAGGACTCTGTTGGTATTACAGATGGCTATTAAAATAGAATGGGGTTTGCGTGTATGAGATTTCTTTGGTTTTTTTTGGTTCAGTGAAATTGTTTTGTCCAAAAAGGCTCATCTGTGGAAGAGTTTATTTCCTGTGGAGGCTGCAGAGAAGGATCACCAAGAAGCTTCTTAGTTTTGACCTACAGCCACTGATTCTGATCAATTTGCTCTGGCAAAAATTAAATAGTTTTCATACTTTTTTAGAACAGTTTTTGTCATGAAACTATGCAGAATGGACAGCAAGAGTATCTCAAGCCAGATCTATCTCAGAGAAATATTGAGGGTCTTTTCAGGTTGTTGCTTTGATGGTTAACCTTCTTTGTGTTGATGACACATTTTCCTCTTTTTTTTCTTTGTTTTAGCTGAACTGGAGTTTGTTCAAATCATCATTATAATCGTGGTTATAACTGTTATGGTGGTAGTGATCATCTGCTTGTTGAACCATTACAAACTCTCGACACGCTCCTTTATCAACCGACAGAGCCAAAGCAGAAGACAGGAAGAAACTCTGCAGACGGTGAGTGGGAGCCCCTTGCCCCAAACTCCTTTTCCTTGGGCTGTATGGGCCTGCAGCAAACCCTCCCACAGAGCTCTGGTATAGGCAACTGCTGGAAAAACTTCTAATATCACTTTTAATACTCCCTATAGTTAGATCTTTTGCCAAAGTTGTATTTGTCAGTAGAAAACAAACTTGGAATGCAAATTGAAGATACACTGTCTTCAATTATTTTTAGACCCTGCTATGTTTTATGTAGCCTATATTCATTTTGCATTTGGAGGCTTAGATGGGACATTGTGTTTGCTGCTGCTGTAATTTGAGAAGGGAGTGTAAAAGGGGAATGAATGGAGATTAGCTGGGGTACAAAGATTTGAAATACACGTTGTTATGACTTTCCATATATTGTTTGATATCCTGGGGTTTTATTGTTTTATTGCTGTTACTGTTTTGTGACGCTGCCATGGCTGCTTGCTGGATCAAAACCATCGTCCCAGTAAGGGCCCAGGAAAATGTAATGTTTGTTTCATTAAAACAGCAAGAAGAGGCTAGAAAAAAGGTCTCTCCAAGGACCTGGCATGCTTAAGATGTACTGTTACACAGTCAAAGGCTTAAGAGGGAATCTCAGTTAGTACTTGTTATAAGAGTGTGTGTAGTCAACCCAACAGTAATTGAGCACCTAATATGCTTTGTGAGCCAGGAGTTTGCTGGGTGGGATGCTCTTCTCCCTTGTGAGGGTTAACCACAGTGTGTCCCTGACCTTGGGATATCCCCCACAAGCCGCACAGTGCCCTGTGGTGTTGCAGGGAGGTCCTTCCTTCTGATGTGCTTTTCCCACAGAGGTGCCCTTGGCCTCTTTGCTGACAGCAGTGACCAAGGGGCCATTTATGAAGTCATCTTTTGATGCATTGAATTCCTGTAACAGTGCTGAGTTCACAGCTTCCCTTTGCTGTCAAAAAAAAGTCAGTTTGTAACTGAGAGATGTGATCATAATGGTTTACACCAGTTCTGACACCACAGTCTCACCTTTTTATCCATTCCAGTCTTATGTTTCTTCCCTCTTTGTGCTCCCTAGGGAGCTGCTGAGGTAGTTGTGAGAGGCTTCAGGGGACTGCTCTGGCTGAGCACTAATTGCTGGCTTTTTGTTTTTGCACTTCTTGTTAGGGTTAGATTTCGGCAGGGGAGGCAGCATTGACAGGGAAGGAGGCAGAGATGCCACAGTGGCTGCTGTGGAGCTGCCTCCCTGACAACTCTGGCAATTGGCAGCTCCCTCCCCAAAGTCAGCTGTACAATGTGACAATGCAGGGTTCCCAAAGCTCTCTCTTAGTACATCACCTGTGCCATTTTACTGGGGTGAATTGCTCTTTCCTTGGAGGCTGCAAGGGGAGGAAAGGAGCTGCCTCCTCAAGGAGAGGCTGCCTCATTGCCTGGCACTTCGGTAGTGTACAGATGCTTAGCTCTAATTTGGAAACTGGAACTTGTCAAACCTTAACCTCGTGGACTTGAGGACTGGAAAAATTGACTAGATTAATTTAAATGTTGCTTTGAAATGGACACTGTAATTCAAGAACCACAATTCTGTCTGAAAAGTGTTAGCTATAATTGCTAGATGCCTAAAATGAAATAGTTTGAGATAAATGAAATGCATTTTCATCTTCACAAATCTTTTTAAACTGTAGTAAGCTGTCAAATGCATGAAATAACCCATTATTTCCTTTGTATGGCTCATTACTATTGTCTGTTATCAGACAGAGCCAGTAATTTTTTTTTTATTATTTTTTTTTTTTTTTTATTTTCCTTCCTGGGCACAAGGAAGAAAACTTCACCTTCTTGTGTAGAATAATATGCAGTTTGGCAGCTGGGACTTGGGAGCTGATTTAGTACCTAGAACTGGTCTTAAGTAATTTTTAAAACATCAACTCAGTTTCAGAGTTTTAAAAATGATTTTTTAAAACACTGACTCAGTTTTAGTTTGATGCCACCATTATAAGTAACAATAATCACAGCCAAGTGAGCACTTCATGGGAATTGATGAGGGGATGGAAAGAACCAGTTACTGATTCTTCTGAAACCCTGTGGTATAGGTTTATCATCACTATTACTCATCTGAATTTCTGATAAGCTGCAGCTCTTCTTAGAAGAAAGTCATACTTGTGGGGAATGGGGATTTAGAGGTCTCTGAGTTCAGATGTAAAAAACTTTGAATTTTCTTTTGTCTCGGGTGTTAGAAGGAAATTCTGATAGAAACTGGCTGTGCAGTGCAAAAATTAAAAGCAATGTGCAGAGAATGAGGGTCAGAAAACTAAAGTAAATGCTCTGTGGTGAGAAACTTCAAAAGACCAGTCTGTTCTCACTGTCCACAGTGGAATGGCTTGCACAAGATAATAGTGTGAGTGGTGAGATGCAGGTTATATACTTCTAAATTCATTTGTTTTTTCCAGGCACACATCTTATTCTGTGCGTACATGCTATCCAAGTGGATTTTCTTGCAAGGGAATATTTTTTAATGGTATATAGACTCTGAAAACAGATAGAAATGTTTTAAACCACTAATGTCTGAAGAAAATATTATTGTGATTTAAGTCTTTTTTTGGTAGAGAAGTAGTGAATGGAAATAGAGGAAATTCAGACGTGTTTATTGAAAGAAAATGGTAAAGCAAATTATTTGACTGTTGGCTAGTTCTGAAGTGAACAAAATGTAGAATCCAGCCTTTCCTGTTCAGATGGGGCTTTTTTTTTTTTTTTTTTTTTTTTTTTTTTTTTTTTTTTTTTTTTTTTTTTTGGTCCTTTTGTTATCTTCAGTTTTCTTTTTCTTTAAGCCTGTCCTATTTCTAGATAATTATGCCTTCCATCAACTAAGTGGTGGCTGAACTGCACAGGTTTCTGGGCTCATAAAGACCAGCTATTGAACAAATGATCTCTCTTATTCTGGTTCTTCTACAGAGTGTAATAGAAGTGAGCAGCTAAATTATCTACTGCCTTTATTGCCAGCCTCAGACCTGTAAAACTCATGGGTTAGGCATCAGAAGTATTGAAATGAAAGATGTTAGTAGATTTCTTTTTTGGCTTGAACTTCTTCATGGCTACACAAACAAACAAAAAAACACCTGAACAAACATCCTCAAATAAAATAAAAATGAAAGAGGATGATAATGAGAGTCAGAAATTAGAATATTAAAAAAGATGAAATCACTGCAATCACAAGTGTTAATGTTTGAAGGGCAGAAAAAGGACCAGTCATGGGAAAAAAAGGCTGCTCTTTGGCAAGTGCGCGCTACATGTTGTTGTTCCATGCCTGTTCTGTAAATACAGTTTTCTGTTCATCTTTATGTTTTTTCTTTATTTTTCTTTTCATTCCTCTGAGTGTCATCTTCCAGTCTTTCCCCTGGTCTTTGGTATTTTATTACCTTGGTTTTTGGGCCAAGGCCTTAAGCAGATCACAGCCAAGGGCAGGACAAACATTGAGTGCTCTGGAGCAGTGGGTGCTTCTGCTGCAGTGCTCAGGATGCTGCCTGCCCTCTCCAAGTGAGGCTGTTAAGCATTTCCGCCCTGTTTTAACATTAACAGAAGAAATTTGGCGTCCTAATTATGAGAGGTGGAAAGATGCTGAGCAGTAACCATGTTGGCATGAGCGGTAGCCTGGAGTGAGCCTGCAAGGTGCTGAACAGTGTCTGTATCACAAGGGGAAAAATATTGAATGTTTCCTGCTGCTGGCTTATCCATCAGCAGTGTTGGGCTTCACAGCTGGGAGCAAGCCAAGGGTTGCAGAGCACCTGAGAGGGATGCAAAAGCCGTAGGGTGTGGAGTACACCAGGAGCTTGCCCAGGGGCTGCTTCACTTTGAAACAATGGAACCTCCTGTGTGTGAGCAACTGCTGCTAGTGGCAGTGCTGGGGGATTCTGGGGCAGAGCCAAGTGGCAGCCCTGAAAGGGCACATCTGTGCAGAGGGTATGGGTGTCTCATAGCCCAGGGGAGGTCTGTGTTGCAGCATTGCTGGCTGTGCCTTTGTTGACCTTGTATTGGGGGGTACCACTATTGCAGGTGACCAAAAGTGTCCTGCTGGACTGTAGGTAGCTGCAGCTGAGCTGCTGCTGGTTCGCTCTGCTGTTTGCTGGGACAAAACAAATACAAGTCTTGCTTCCCAATGACTAACTCTTAATGTCATCACCGGTGATTTCCATGGGGACACTGAGGGGAAAGAGATTAACTGACTTACAGAGAGTTACTTAATGAGCTTCTTGTGTTCCTAATTTAATTCCTTTTCCCTATCCTGGTGTCTTTGCATTGTCTTCTTTTATAAAGCAGATGTTGAATGAGTGCTGAACACTTGTACTGCCCCAGGCCTACTCCTGGCAGCAAATCCCTGCATCCATCACATAAGATGCTCACCCTGACTAGCCCCTGCCTCCCAGCATGGAAGGCAGCATTGCTGCTCAGGCTGGTCAACTTGCATTAAAACCTGCATTGGGAATGCCAGTCTTGGATGCCAAGCTCCAGGAGCACAGATGTGAAAAATACTCCCTTCTGCCCTGTACCAGCTATTTCAGAATAAGAGGGGAATGTCAGGAGGGTGACAGAAAATACTCAATAATATTGACAGCTCAGGGATTTGTCAGTAATTTCAAATGTTAGTCTTTCCTGCTGGTATTTTAAATTATTTCCTACTGGCATTGGTATTATTCTGTCTGTTCCCTGCTGGTGTCCCTGGGCCACTCATTCTCATTTTCTTACTTTCATGTGCAAAAGAAAGAAAATACCACTGGGAACAAGAACCCAGTCTACAGCCAGGAGAGAGTGTGAGTGCTGTAGACCACCCTACTTTGCCAAATCTTTTCTGTTTGTACCAGTCATCATTTGGCAAGGGCTGGATGTGCACTGTATTCTCCTGCTGTCTCCTTGAGGGACATGGGCTTGCCTCTCCTCAGGGAGTGCTGCCAAGAGGGATAGCAAGCTCGGTTGCTGCTCTTTGAAGTCTCCCACAGTTAAAGTCATTACACATTTAATAAGGGCAGGATTGTCCA